AATGAATGAATGACTCGTCGATAACATAAATAATTGATTATTAAAAATAGAGATAAAATACATGAGAGATACTAAACACTGAATTTATACAAACATTAATAGAGTCATAAAATAGGAATATATTTCAAACAAATAACAAAACAACACAAATACAGTATATTAAACACAATTCATATTAAAGCGTTCAAATACAAATACAATTTCATTCAAAAACCATTTGACACATACATTACAGTATGATTGCAATTATATTGCAACACAATTACACGTTTACTACGAAAAACATATCGCTATTAATAGGAATACACAGAATATTCATTGCCCGTAAGGAACGCATAATTTAATTAAAAACCAGGCTTTCAATGAATGGCTTATAAATAGAGAATTGATGTGAAATTGTTTGTAAATATTTGCCATCAATTTGTGCGCCGATACGACGAACAGGAAAAAACAGGACGAAGTGATGATCTTAGAGAACGCCATCCGGAAGCGCAATGAGGAGCAGAAGAAGTTGGGCCTCGAGATGGAGGCCACGTGTCAGATATGCCTGAAGACCAAGTTCGCCGACGGCGTCGGACACCTCTGCAACTACTGCAACACCCGGTGCTGCGCCCGCTGTGGCGGCAAAGTCACGCTCCGCTCGAACAAAGTAAGCGCACATCCCGTTCCCCATTCAATGTGTCAGCCCTCCCATTAACCACCGATTGTCTCGTTTCCATCGCCAGAACATATGGGTCTGCATTCTGTGCCGCAAAAAGCAAGAGCTGCTCATAAAGACGGGTCAATGGATCCACTCATCGATGGCCAACCGGTTGCAGCAGTTGGAGGCCGAGGCGGAGACGCCGGTGATGGAGAGGATGCGGTTCGGCGGCGCCGGCAAAGAGAACTTCCTCAACGCCTACCACTCGGGCCGCCGCTCGTCGCTGGGGTTGCCGTCGCGGGCGGCGCCGCCGGTCAAAGAGCTGCGGCGCCAGTATTCGCACGAAACGCGGGCCACTGTCCACCAGCAGCAGCCGGCGCCCAACGCCTGGGCCAACGCCACACAGCCTTTAGTTCATCACATATTGCCATTGAATTCGCAGTCGAAAGTGCTTTTACCGAACCATCCGTCGCACCAGCAGCTGATGACCACTACCGGCGCCAACACCGGCCCACCCCAGCGGCTAATGCCCGACATTCCCGTCAGAAAGCTCGAGAAGAGCCAATCCCTGTGCCGACCGGACCCGAGCTATCGCAACAACAGCCCCGCTGTGGGCACGGGAGGCGCGACGACGACCACCGGTGGCCGCAAACTCCCGCACCGGCAGCGCAGCACTGAATCCAATTGGACGAGCGGTGTGTCGGACGTGTCGACGACGTACGGCACGCTCAGCGACTCGACCGCACAGCCCGACCCCACACCCCCGCCCACTGTCGGCGGTGGCAAACAGTTGCCGCGAATCACAGCACAACAACAGGCGATACTGAGGGAGCGGACGGCCGGCGCCGGCGGTGTCCTCAGCAACCACTCCTCGCATACCGGCGTGCCTTCCAATACACAACTGCGCGACCTATCGGTGCCTCTGAACGCGCAGAACAACTTCAAGAACCAAATGTATTCGTCGAACGGCTTCCCCAAAACGGGTCGACACATAGACCCGGGCGGTGGTGGCGGAGGCGCTCCACCCATAGCGGCGTACGCGGACGTCGGCCACAGTCAGCCGCGAGCGGGCCTTCAGTGCCATTCGTCGGGCGGCAGTCGGCGCCGAAGTACGACCGACAGCGTCATCCGCAACGACTCGCTCTCGTCGGACCAGTCGGAGTGCGTGCGACCCCCGCCTCCCCGGCCCTACAAAGCGCGCAATAAGTCGGGCAAAAAGCTGCGTCCGTACAGCTCGTTCAGCTCGTCCGACGACGAGATCCGCTCCACACCCGAGCCCTCCACCGAAGACGACCTCGACTTAGAGAGCGAGAGTGTCAGCGAAAAGGGCGAACACCTGGGGGTCGACCATAACCTACATAAGTGCCAAAAGAGTCGTATGCGACCCGAGGAGATACTCGACGCCAAAATCAAAAAATTTCTTGCTGTAAGTCAGGGCATGCCGTCCACAGTCAACCCCTCCCATCTCACCCCTAACCCCCTCCTCGTGCCTCCTATTGTTAAACCAATCATTGATAGTATTTTAAGACATTCAGTCATAACCTATGATATGATAGCTAATAGTTTTCAAAGTAGTCAATGAATTAGTTGTTTAATGATTCACATGATATGCTAATGACATGAATGGTGTGTTCGTTAGCATCCGATCACATGGAAGCCGTCGGCCAACGGCACACATCTTATCGGACATATGATACTGAAGAAGCACTTGGCGGACGACACGTCCTCCAGTTCCAGCGCAACCATATTGGGCCTGAAGGTCGTGGGCGGCCGTATCATCGACAGCGGACGGCTCGGCGCCATCATCGAGAAGGTCAAGAAAGGCAGTATCGCCGACACCATCGGCCGACTCAGGCCCGGTATGTCCGCACTATTACTCATTTTGCTTATATTCCACATTTTATTTGCTAAATTAATTTAATTGACGTGCAATGCCTTTTGTACAGTTTATAATACAATTAGTTTGTAACTTACAAATTGTAAGCAAATGATTGCCAACGATTCCCACGTATGGCTACCATTTGATTCAATTAGTAATTGTGTTCAAACTTTATTTAAACTCATATTTCAGTGCATTTCTTAAGGTTACAAATATTTTATACATTTGCCTTTGATTTAAAAAAACAATTTACATAATAATACGGAACTTATGTTATTCTGTTTATGCACTTAATATTACTTAACAATAATTTATCACTCGGTGACGACATTTAGTTTTAATTTTTTATTTATAATACATTTAATTTTTAAATCACAATTACTGTATAATCATATAATTATGGTTTTCTTAAATGTTACTGAATTTCTGCATTCGTTATGTAATTGTTTCGTCAGTCAATAGTTTGCATAAAAATTAGTCTGTTTTGAGCGTAACCTCTGAACCCAAATACTTGTGACACCCGACAGGCGACGAAGTGGTCGAGTGGAACGGGCGGTCACTTCAGGGCAAGACCTACGAGGAGGTGTACGACATCATCGCTGAGTCCAAACAGGAGCCGCAGGTGGAGCTCATAGTGTCCCGGCTCACCCAAAAGTTGCCGTTAGCCACGAACCCGACGCCCATTCTCAAGGAGGACCTACTGGTGCCGCCTAACCAACGTATCGGCCGACGCCATACCGACGTCATGACTATGGGACCACAACTCAGTTACGGTACCCATTGTCACCGCAATTTACACGCCTTTCCCAGCAGTCATTCAATCATTTGCTTTTGAAATGTATTCATATTTTTGTAATTTTCAAACGACAGACAAGACGTTCATTCGGGGCAGCAGTTTGGGGGCTGAACTCAATCGCTCGAATCGGCCCTATTTGAAGGTCACCCGCACCTCCACCATCAGCGGTCGCATCCAGGTGCCGTACACTTGTTACCAGGCTCACTTGCATTTCATTTAATGTAGCATTTTTATGGAATTTATGATTTTTAATTACAATGATTTTTCTAGAATATTACAGAATTACAGAATTTATGTATAACTTATTACAGTACATTTTAGTTGCATTTACAATAGCTATCAATATTGATTGTAAACTAAATGTAAATTGCAATCCATTGGTAATTAGGTTAAGCTGTGGTACGACATCCAGTCGTTGCAATTAGTGGTGACCATAATCAGCGCCATAGACCTGAGCCCCCGAACCAACGGCTATCCGCGCAATCCATACGCGAAAATGTTTTTACTTCCAGACAAGAGGTATGCAAAAGCAGTCACTGAACACAACACACAGAATATTCTTTAGCGCTCGTCAACAGAGTATATAAAAGAATATTCTGTTTGTCTTTCACTATAATTGTCACGAAAATGAACCAAAAAACTAATGAAACGAATGGACAAAACTGTAGCGAAAAGAGCAAACGGCGGACCAAAACGATGGCCAACTCGTCGGAACCGCTTTGGAACCAAACATTCGTTTACTCGCCGTTACGGCGGACGGAGATGAAGACGAAGGCCTTAGAGATCACTGTCTGGGACTTCGAGCGGTACGGCGCCAACGAATTCCTCGGCGAAGTGCTCATCGAGTTGGCGGTCGCGCCGCTGGACGACGAGCCCGAGTGGTATCTGTTGGCCACTCACGAGGAAATATTTGCTCAATTAGTATGACTTCTCGTGAAGAGTGCTTACTATCGTTGTATTCATTGGGTTTGTGTTTTGCTTTCACACCGACAGCGACTCCAACAGAAGCCATACCTGACGGCCGCCGATCGCATATCTCCGTCGACTTCTTCGCGCCTCTCCGACAGTGATATCTCCGAATTAGAGTACGACGACGGCTTCAACACTTCCAGAGGTAGGGGTCGACCACCACGTCATCGCTGTATTACTGTTACCGCTCTTTGGCACTAATGTCTGCATTCCTGTCCACCCAATAGAGTCGTGGAGAGGGCTGTTGGCGGACACGAGTCAGAGCTCCATCGGGAGCAGCGGTAGTCCGCCGCTGATGAACACCGTGGAGACGAAGTCCAGTTCGCGGACCAACGCATACAACTATATACCGCCGGACGGGTCGGGTGTGGGCCGCCGTCACCGGCAGGCGCTGCTCGCCGAAGGCAACGCCGCATCCCTTCCCACCAATTATATACTCAACGAAACCGATGGCTTCCTATACCGACCGGAGTTCCGCAAAAGCAGTTCACAGCCGACCCGTTCCCTATCGCCACCGTCGCTGCGCTCCCGCTCGCCGTCGCACTCCATCGGAACGCCTACCAGTTCTGTGGGCGCCCTCAACAAGAAGCGACACTTACCGCAAGTGCCGGCAGTCATGGGCCGACGCGTGGGCGCCGCCACCGACAGCCTACTCATGGGCTTCGAGTCGCCGCCGCAACCCATGGGCCGAAACTGGAGGCCAAACGCACCGCAGCGGCGATCCGTCGATAGGATCACCGGTTCGTCGGGAAGTGGAGGCATATATTCGGACAGTGAGATCACGACGAGACCCGTGTTCGGCAACCGACAGCTTTATGCACATCCCGTGCCCTCCAAGGAGTCCAATGCGCACCAACACCACCACCGACGGGACAGCGCCCGCAGGCGTGGCGGGTCTGCAGCCGACTCCGGCTATCGGGAGTACCAGTCGGAGACGGAGGGCCAGCACCGGGAGAGGGAACGGAGGGATAGCTTTAGGGAAAGGGAACAACACAGGGAAAGGGATAGGGAAAGGGAAAGGGAACAACACAGGGATAGGGATAGGGATGGCGGCGGCTCCAGTAGTCGCGCCGAACAAAGGAGTCGCGCCGAGAGTAGGCGAGTGTCGGCCGTCGGCGGCGGACAGGAGAGCGGCAACGAGTCCGAGACGAGCACCAACTCCAAGACCAGTGTCCAAAGTGCCTTCTCTGCCCACTCGGACAGACCCCGACCCAGTCGTACGCTCAGGTATGTCACCAAACCATTGACTTTACAGTGCGCTATAATAACGTTATATAATACTTGAGTTACATATCAATTGATAATTACTTTTTTTGTGATAAAACGCTTAAATGATTAATTAATTTGTGATTTTTTAAGACATGAAATACTGTTTACTTGAACGCATAGCTCACAAAATGACTTAATCATAGCGTTTAGTAACAGTTGATTGGCTCGAGAATTGGATAAATATTACTTTATATGATACTTGACATAAAACATACTCGACTGCTCATAAAAGTTTATCAACATTTTTATATAAAATATTTAATAGCTTTGAAGCCATGCACTTTATATGATTTAGGGAATTCAAATAAATATACAGTACAGTAGGCTAATATAATTGGCAACAAAAATTAAATTTAACCAACCATGCACCATTTCCACGCGTATGTTCTAACTTAGTAACTAGTGATCTAGTTGTTTGTCTAGTGATCTGTAAATCATATTTGATATTTTGTGACTTATAAACTTATAACTTATAAATAGTTTTAAAAATTAAATCACTGAACAAAATGCGATATTCAGGAAACAAAATACAATTTCATTTCTTAAGAAAACAATTTTGTATTCAATTTGTTTAATCAAACAATTCTCGTATTGACAGCGAATTTGTCTTTTTATTTTAAAGCTTTTTAATTATCTCGCAAATCATTAGTCAAATAATATATACATAAGAAAGTTGACAATTTTAATACCTTTTTACTGTGTATTTAATTCATTGCGCGACTTGTTTTGAAAACAATATTCATTTGCTTTGAAATGGATTTAAATATTTACACATTTGTCTCAATAACTGCATAAATATTTACTTAATCGACAAAATTATTGTCAAAAAANATACCTTTTTACTGTGTATTTAATTCATTGCGCGACTTGTTTTGAAAACAATATTCATTTGCTTTGAAATGGATTTAAATATTTACACATTTGTCTCAATAACTGCATAAATATTTACTTAATCGACAAAATTATTGTCAAAAAACAGTTTTCTCTCCGGAATATAATAATAGTTTTCGAAACACATTAAACACATTCGCGACTGTTTCTGACACCAGGATATCGTTTGAGACGTTCAACAGTTTTATAGCTATTATTTGTGTCAATTCTGAACACAAGATATGTGTTGAATTCTGTTGAGAATCACTATAAAGCCTTATAAGTCATAAATACTGTATAATTCAAGTGTAGGCTTTAGTGCCAATTAATAAGACGTTAGCTGTTATTGAAAACACAATATTTCCGAGAAATGTTTGCAAAAAAACCTTTTATATTAAATGCAAAAAATAGACTTCACATCCAAATCATGAAGCAATTACTGTTACTGTAAATGTCAAATAATTACCACTAGTTATTGGACAGCGATTCTCTAAACACACAGAATCGCAGAATCTATATATAATGTATAATATATTTATCGCACTTAACACTGATTTCCAAACCCATAACTAACTATTAAATGCAATTTGTTTGGCACATGTATGTCCGCCCAGTGAGTTCACCTCCAAAATCCAAAGCTACGGACCCGTCCACCCGCCGCACCCGTCCCGCACATCCGTAGCAATAAGTCAGTTGAATGAGAGGGAACGGGCGGCCAATGAGAGCAAACTGGACGGCAGTCTGTCGGACACGGCCATCGTGGGCTCCGACAGCCAAATGGATTCGCTGAACGTCATCTGCGGTAACCCCGCGTCGCAGACGTCCGGCTCGAAGACCAACTCATCCGGACTCACGAAGAAGAGTAGCAGCACTTCGCAGCTCAGCGTTTCCGGTCAGTCACTCACACCCATTGCCAGCACTTTGTTTATCGCTATTATTATCTTTTTTTGCATTTGAAATATACTTTAATTTTAAGACTTTTTTTGAATTTAAGCATAAATTCTACAGAAAAATAACACAAAACTATAGAATATATGAGAGAAACAAAACAGAATATAAACCAAAGTTTAGACAATCGACTACTGATTGAATGGATTACAAATAAATAGTAATAAATAGCACCAAAACTACTATAAAACTTGTAATGCATTTGAGACTAATAAT